ATTATTATTATTATTATTATTATTATTATTATTATTCAGCTTGTCTTTCTCACTCATGCTTTTGAGTGGTGTAACTGTATAATATTCCCTAGAAATTGAGGTAGTAACATTGACCCCTTGTCTTCAGCCAGATGACCGGGGACTCATGAATGGCATCCCAGTGCTTAGGGTCACCCGACAAGGCCCTGATGCTCTGCACTTCATCCAGACACCCCTTGAGCCTGGGAGCGAAGTGCAACTAGAGTTGGATTGGGACCGGCGGTTTGATCACATGCAACAGCATTCAGGTAAGAAACTGTTGATTGTGGCTACACTCCCAATCAATGCAGTTTGAACTGCATGATATGGTCAGCATACACCATATGCACTTCAGATTGCATTATTTGGCAGTGTAGATCCAGCCTGTGACACAGTTTGCATGGAACATTACAGAAAACATATTAAAAATTAAAAATATCTGTCTGAAAGAGCAGAAGAACCTTATAGAATAAAGCATTTGGTCAATCCTAATCCAACACTAGGTACTTTATAATTGTCTCTTTCAGGACAACACCTTATCACAGCACTCGCAGATCTGATGTTTGGATTCAAGACAACATCATGGTGAGCAGGATGCATCTCTGATTAGTTCCTTTCTACTTCTTGTGTGTGATTTGAATAACAGCAACTAAAATCTGTTCATCTACCTTGTGGGTAGAGGAACAGAAAAGAGAAGGAAGTTTTAATCTCTAGACCTCCAATTGCTCCCCATACTAACTAGCCATTCCCTGCCACACGTTGCTGTGGTCCAGTCTGTGTATATGCGTTTTGTGTGTGTATATATGTATATTTGCGTATATACTCTATATATGTAGTTTTGCTCATTCATTGTAATGTATTTTTTATTTTTTGGATTTCTACGACTCTTCTGCTGTGTTTTTCAGTGTTTTTATGCGTGATAGTCACTTGTTGGCCTGATACACATATTGTGTCCAAATTTGGTGTCAATTCGTCCAGTGGTTTTTGAGTTATGTTAATCTCACAAATGAACATTACATTTTTATTTATACAGTGTTTCCTCTCTTATTGTGGGTGTTATGTTCCAGGACCACCCGCAAAAAGTGAAAATCCGCAAAGTAGGAATGACACACACACATATAGCATTCTGTGGGTGAGGCAGAAGCGAGGAGAGATTTAAAGGCACTGCACACTTTTTTTTTGCTAGCTATAAGGAAGGAGAGCCCCCAGTGGCGCACTGGGTTAAAGCTCTGAACTGCTGAGCTTGTTGACCGAAAGATCGCAGGTTTGAATCCAGGGAGCGGCATGAGCTTCCGCTGTCAGCCCCAGTTTCTGCCAACCTAGCAGTTCGAAAACATGCAATAGGTATCACTCCGGTGGGAAGGTAACGGTGCTCCATGCCAGGGGCATGGAGCACCGTTTTGGTGCCTTTTAGAAAACAACTTCTAAAAGGCACCAAATGGGCAAAACAACTTCTAAAAAGCACCAAATGGACAAAATGGCCCCTGGCACACACTAAAGAGACCCTAAATAACTTCTAAAAGGCACCATATGGGCAAAGTGGCCCCTGGCACACACTAAACAGGGCCTAAACTACTTCTAAAAGGCACCATACGGGCAAAGTAGCCCCTGGCACACTCTAAAGAGGCCCTAAACAACTTCTGAAAGGCACTAAATGGGCAAAGTGGGCCCTGGCACACACTAAAGAGACCCTAAACAACTTCTAAAAGGCACCAAATGGGCAAAGTGGCCCCTGGCACACACTAAATGGCCTAAACAACTTCTAAAAGGCACCAAATAGGCAAAGTGGCCCCTGACCCTAAACTACTTCTAAAAGGCACCATATGGGTGAAGTGGCCCCTGACACACACTAAAGAGACCCTAAAGAACTAAAAGGCACCAAATGGGCAAAGTTGTTCCTGGCACACATGACCTTGGAGGTGTCTATGGACAACACTGACTCTTCAGCTTAGAAATGGAGATGAGCACCACACCCCAGAGTTGGATATGACTGGACTTCATGTCAAGGGAAAACCTTTACCTTGACCTATAAGGAAGGGGCTATAAGGCTGTGATTTACATACTGCTTAGTATCTCCTCTCTTTCTTTTTTTATGATTGGCTGCATCTCTCCCAAGGGGGAGGGTAAAACTCCCTTCCACATTCCATCATTGCCAGGAGGCAAAAATCTGCGAAACAGCAAGTCTGCGAAAAGTGAACCGTGAAGTAGCAAGGGAACACAGAAAAGATATATTTTTGGGCGAGGTTTTCCTACTTTTGAAGGCTCTTCTGGCTGTGGCAGTTTTCACTGGGATGCCCAAGAAGGCTCTCAATTTCCAGCAATTACGATCCAGTCATTCGGTGGTGGGCAACTGGGAAGTGGATATGAGACATTTTTGACCTCCCATGGAGGTTGCACTGTTGCTCTCAATATACGTAGAAATGACATTGTACCATTTCCTGTTTTGTTTATGGCTTCTTTAGGGATGGATTGATGGGGTTTCCAAACACTGAGTAGGTTTGGGGCCATGGTGGGTAAAACAGCTACACTGCTGGTGTTTTTGAGCTATTTGGAGGAATTAAAAATACAATTTTAAAAAATTGGGGTCAGGGCTGCAGGGATTACCAAATGTGGTTCCATGTGGCCCATGTGGCACTAAATGATTGACGGAACACACCCTTTTGTTTTGCTGCAGGGAGCTGGGCCGCCAAAGAGGTACCATTGAGTTGGACACCTCTTCCATGACAGCAGAGCAGGTGGCTGCCCTTGAGCAGAGTGTCAATGACAAAATCCGTGCTCGGGTCCCAGTGGTGGTCCGAGAGTTTGCGGTGGGTGACCCTGAGGTTGAGATGGTAAGTACTGTCTGGGCACAGAGGAAGAGGGAAGGGGTTATGTACTCCTCTCTAAGCAGAGTTTTATTGCAGGTGAGGAGCCGAGGATTGCCGGATGACCACACTGGACCTGTTCGTATAATAAGCATTGAAGGCATTGATGCTAATATGTGTTGTGGCACACATGTCTCCAACCTCAGTGACCTGCAGGTGAGACATGGGGAGGGAATGTCCTTGCAGAATCAGGATTTAGAACCTTGTGGATTGAATCCTCTGAGATGTCATAGTCTCTAGTGATACTTCGTGTAAGAACAATTTCCACCCCTTTGTGGTAGGAACCCCCGGTGGCGCAGTGGGTTAAACCCCTGTGCTGGCAGGACTGAAGACCGACAGGTCGCAGGTTCAAATCCGGGGAGAGGTGGATGAGCTCCCTCTAGCAGCACCAGCTCCTCATGCAGGGACATGAGAGAAGCCTCCCACAAGGATGATAAAACATCAAATCATCCAGGCATCCCCTGGGCAACGTCCTTGCAGACAGCCAATTCTCTCACACCAGAAGTAATCTGCAGTTTCTCAGGTCGCTCCTGACATGACAAAACAAACAAACAAACAAAACCCTTTGTTGTATGTGGGTTTTCATCAACATAAGATACACCATATATGCAGAAATAACCTGTGACCCGCCTCAAGCCACAAGGAGAGGTGGGTAAGAAGTAAAATTATTATTATTGTTATTATTATTATTGTTGTTGTTGTTATTATTATTAGAAACACAACAAGATGAATCCACAACAGACAAGATTACTCTGCTGGCTGTTGTATTGGATCACACGCCGGACACTTCCCAAGTATCTAGGACTGTGTGATGTATCAGCAAATAATGCGTGCAGATCCCAGTAAGGTGGCCTTCTGCAGCTGGCAGATAGTAATTTTGTCAGTGCTGCTTATGTTTAAGTGCAGGCCAAGGTCTTTAGGCACTGCACCCAGTGTGCTGATCACCACTGGGACCACCTTTACTGGCTTGTGCATTATTATTATTCTTATGATTACTACTACTACTACTACTACTACTACTACTACACATTACTGGTCATTTAGCACCTGTTGGATGGAATGCTGCTAAACATACATGTGAATGTGGTTTTTATAAATATATGCTTCTATTATTATTATTATTATTATTATTATTATTATTATTTAAATTGGAGCATAAGGTACTATTCTCTAACTTTCTCTGCAACTTGGGCCCCTTCTACTCTGCTATATAATCCAAATTATCAATGCAGATAATCTACATTATCTGCTTTAAACATGATTAAATGATTCTACACTGCCATATAAACCAGTTCAAAGCAGATAATCTGGGTTTTATATGGCAGTGTAGAAGGGGCCTCCATCTACAAGTGCACTCCCATTTTCTTCCCTATCTAAGCTGAAACCGAGGGATGTGTTAGTGTCTGCATCGACTCTCCGTTCTTACCGTTCTCCATAGGAATCTATTTGCAGGGAAAAGGTTTTGGGTAGGATGCAAAGAAAATAGCTGTTTGCCTCCCATCCCAAAAAAAAAAAAAGTAAGTTAAGGACTGTCCAAGAACTGATTGCTCCATCTCTTTTTGATATGATCTTAGCCATTTTATCCTACTAAGAATAATGTATATTTGTTTTGAAGGTTGTTAAGCTCTTGGGCACCGAAAAAGGGAAGAAGAACAAGACCAATTTAGTTTTCCTCGCTGGGAATCGAGTGCTAAAAACGCTGGAGCGAAACCATACCACTGAGAAGGCCCTGACGTCACTACTTAAGCAAGTATTCTGTTTCTTCTGTCTGAAAGGGTGAAGGGAATGGGCAGAGGTCTCTGAAGAGCTATTTGAGGTTTCATCTAAAGTTTCAAGGAAGAGTCATTAAGGTTTGAGATAGTTCTCAAGAGTAGAAACTGTCATACAGGCTGTTTGTTTATGTCAGTTGGACTGGAGAAAACATGGCACATTGGAAAGGAAAATGATGCTGGGAAAATCAAAGATAGTAGTTAAAAAAGAAAACTGCAGTACACAGTGTAGCACAGGAATGTGCATTATCTCCATGTACTGTCATTCCACACTGCAACTGCATAATAATAATAATAATCATCATCATCATCTTTATTTATACCCCACCACCATCTCCCCAATGGAGACTCGGGGTGGCTATACATATTGACCATTGATTCACATATACGATAGTTGAATGAACAGTATTGCCTCCACCTTCGTTCCTTGGATTTGGATGGGAATATTTTAATAAATCAAACGCAGAAATAATCCTCTTTAATTACCACTATTCACTTTTCCACATAATCATCAGACAATTGGATACATTTCTGCCAACGATGAACAGGTTTGCTGAAGCCGTCATGGAAGAAGTCAACACTCTGTTTCTGCAACCCATCATGCACAGATCTTCCAATAGCCAAGCAAAGCAATAATGTGACCCACACGTTCTTGTGAAGTGCCAATTATGCTTGAAATTTCTCTCTGAGTGATATGACGATTGTCCTGAATCTATCTGTCAACCTTTTGCTTGTGAAACTCGGTGGTTGCTGTCACAGGACGTCCAACTCTTTGTTTGTCACTCAAGTCAGGTGTTCCCACCTCAGCACATCTTTAAACTTTCTTGCCTAATGACGCACAGTACTCACATCAACACAATTACAATAAACAGCTTGCATTCTCTGATGAATCTCCTTTGGGGTGACACCTTCTGCTGTCAAGAATTCAATGACTGCACGTTGCTTAAGTTGCATTGACTGACTGTCTGTGTAGGGTTCCATACTTCACACTTTTAACAACACAACTGTTGAATGCTAAGGCTTCCCACCAAAATGGAACTGTAGAGGAGTCTACCGAACAAGTCAGTACCTGCCGCATAGCAGTACTGCCATCTGTTGAGGAGTTATGAAGGTGGAGGCATTACTTTTCATTCAACCCTCGTATTCTGCCACATTGCTATGCAGTGTAGTAGTTATGTAGTGTAACTAAATTGGTGGGTATTTATCCTAGACTGAAGTGTTACACAATCTTTGCCAGTGTCTGTTTACAAACAGTATATTGTAGCTTGGTTTCTATAGTTAAGTTGAATTGTAACTTTAGAGAGAATTTGTCCACTACTCTGTCACTACTAATCTTGTATACATTAAGGGCTACAACGATTTGTCATAGGAGTTCTTACTTGCCTTTATCATTTTAGGAATGGTCCTGAGGAGCATGTAGAAGGTGTGAAGAGACTGCAGAATTCTGTGAAGCAGCTTCAGAAGGTACAAGTGGGTTGACACTGGGAATCTCCCCAAGAAGAGTCTAGTTTGTGGCAGCAGTGAGGTATACTATAATATTTTACTGGGGGTTTTGACAGGCAGTGGCTGAAGTCAATACCCCAGTAACTCAACTGCTTAAAAGCAAGGATCAATAATGGATTTTGGAAACCAGGCTGAAGAAGACTGACAAACTGGTTTGTTGGCCATTTCGATGGCCTTTGGGATATATTTAACCTACCATGGAAGGAGTTATGTGGTTTCAATTCCGTAGGAAGTCCACCTAGAAAGCCAATTAGAACCATAACACTATGTAACAGAATTTTGTTCCTGGGTTATAAATGTCATTTCCTAATTGGTTCTATCATACAAACACATTATTTTTGCAGTATTATCACACAAACACATTATTATTTGCAGTTTGTTTTTGCTGGACATCCTGCAGCACATTTTGCTATAGTTTTCCCAATAATATCTCATTGAGTCTCAAGCAATTCAACATAGTTTATGATAGCCACAAAAATGAAGTTTCTGGAGTATAAAAACTACTTTCAAAGTAATTTATTTATTTACAGTATTTATATTCTGCCCTTCTCACCCCGCAGGGGACTCAGGGCGGATTACAATGTACACATATATGGCAAACATTCAATGCCAAAGACACACAACAGATATAGACAAACAGTCAGAGGCTATTTGACTTTTCTGGCCACCAGGGGAGCTGTCGCTTTCATCATCCATCTGCGACACTGATGAAGTACTTCCGCATTTCTGGCATGCTTTTGCTGGAGTGCTTTGCTGGAGTCTTTTTATGGCCTCGTAAATTAGTTAAATTAGCCTCCACACACATAGGTGGTACCTAATTTTCCTACTTGACAGATGCAACTGTCTTTTGGGTTGCAAAGGTCGACAACAAGCTACACAATTGGTCGGAAGCTCACTACAACCCAGGCTGGCTTCAAACTCATGACCTTGTGGTCAGAAGTGATCTTAATACAGCTGACACTCAGACAGCTGCGCCACAGTTCCAGTAATTCACAATTAAACAGGAAATAACACTTTCAAACAAGGAACAGAAAATTTCTCAGAGTTTGTTACATAGTGTAATTGTCCCATAAAATTGTGGCAGGATAAGGAACAGAGTACTTGCCAGTTTTTCACACTGGTTAACACCCTGCTTCACAGAGTACCCCAGTGGTAGTTCTATGGAAATTGAGAATCTTGGCACTTTTTTCTTCTCACTTTTCTAATATAGCCCTTTTTTCGTATTGGGAGAGACTTGAGAAACTGCAAGCTGCTTCTGGTGTGAGAGAATTGGCTGTCTGCAAGGACGTTGCCCAGGGGATGCCCAGATGTTTTACCATCCTGTGGGAGGCTTCTCTCATATCCCCACATGAGAAGCTGGAGCTGACAGACAGGAGCTCACTCCGCTTCCTGGATTTGAACTGCCGACCTTTTGGTCAGCAGTCCTGCCGGCACAAGGGTTTAACCCCTTGTGCCACCGGGGGCTCCAATATAGCCTTGAAAGACTAATTTCTGTTTTGATCTTGCTAATGATTCCCTGACTTTTATCCCCATATCGGTTATGGGGATAAAATGGATAATGTCTCCATGTCGTTATTTGTTTCTCTTTCAGAACAACTTGAACCTATTGAGGGACTTGGCTGTCCTTACTGCACAGAGCTTCAAAAACAACATGGCTCAGGAGCCATTGTTTGTATTACACAGGTGAGGAAAAAGGTCACCCATTGCTAAGTACACACAAATATGGGATAAGCAAATTTTTGATACCTGAAAGAAGGGGAAACCCCCTTAATCTTTTCTCCCGCAAAAGACTGTGTTGATTTTAATTACTGGAAAATATCAGGATTTGGGTTATTGACCACAATCACCCCATACCCAAAAGTGTGACATATGTAGTGGCTGATTTTTTTAACAGTGGATCAACAAGTTTCAATTTTTAATAATAATTTTTTAAAAATTAAGCACGTGCCTTCAAGAAGCATGTTGCTTTACAGCAATCCTATGGATTTTATTGGGTTTCTGTAGGCATGGCATGTTCAGAGGTGGTTTACCATTAGTTTCCTCTGAATATAACTTTCAGCACTTGATATTCCTTGGCAGTTGCCCATTAATTAATTAATAGTAATTAATAGGCCTTATGCTGTGTTGCTTCCTAGACAGGCAGGATCTGGTGCCTTTAGGGTTTTTTACTTTTACTACGGCTTAAATCAGGAGTGGGCAAAGTTGTGGCCTTAGGTTGCACATGGGATTAGCTCTTAGTATTTCTCAGCATCTCTTTTCCTGCTAGCACTGTTGGGAATATCTCTGTTTCACTTTTCTTTCTATGGGGATGGTGGATCCACTGTGCAGATAAGCATGACAGAATAATAATAATAATAATAATAATAATAATAATAATAATAATGGTAATGGTAATAATAATAATAACACTTTATTTGTACCCTGCTACCATCTCCCCAAGGGACTCGGTGTGGCTTACATGAGGCCGAGCCCGAACACAACAATACAAGCAATAATCACAACAATACAAGCAATTAAAACAAAAACATAAACAATAAACATATAACATTATCGATAAGACAACACACAATTAAAAATAGTGGGAAGGACAAATGTAAAATCAAAATTGGAAATAGTGCTTAAACATGGATGAAAAGGTGATAGTGGCGTTTGTGGAAAGACATACGAGCAGACCTAAAATGTAAAGTGCTTTAGAGGGACAAAGTGCTGAGGGATCATTATTCTGGGAAGGCACACTGGAACATCCACGTCTTCAAGTTCCTCCTGAAGACTGCCAGAGTTGGGGCTTGTCTGATGTCCTTGGGATGTGAGTTCCAGAGTTGGGGGGCCACCATCGAGAAGGCCCTTTCCTTCGTCCCCATCAATCGCGCCTACAAAGGAGGTGGGAGTGCGAGTAGGGTCTCTCCAGATGATCGAAGAGATCGTGTAGGTTCGTACACAGAAATGAGGTCATGCAGGTAGGTGGGTCCCAAACCGTTCAGGGCTTTGTAGGTAAGAACCTGCACCTTGAATTGGGTCCGGTAAATGAATGGCAGCCAGTGGAGCTCCTTGAACAGGAGGGTTGACCGCTCCCTGTAAGGAGCCCCAGTTAACAACCTGGCTGCCGCCTGTTGGATCATCTGAAATTTCCGGGCCGTTTTCAAGGGCAGCCCCACGTAGAGTGCATTGCAGTAATCCAGTCTAGAGGTGACTAAGGCGTGGACCACCTTGGCCAGATCCGTCTTCCCGAGGCGCTCGAGTCTTAGTTGTGCAAAGGCCCTACCGGCCACCACCGATGCTTGATCCTCAAACATAAGTGAAGAATCCAGGAGGACCCCCAAACTACGGACCTGTGATTTCAGGGGGAGTGCAACCCCATCCAACACAGGTTGCCACCCTATACCCCGGTCTGGTTTACGATCGACCAAGAGGACCTCTGTCTTGTCGAGATTAATCTTCAGCTTGTTCGTCCTCATCCAGACAGCCACAGCGGTCAGGCACAGAAGCGGGGTTTCAGGCACATCTCTCTCAGACCCCTTCTACACTGCTACAAAATCCAGATTATCAAAGAAGATACTCCACATGATCTGCTTTGAAATGGATTATATAAGTCTACACTGCCATATAATCCAGTTCAAAGCAGACAACCTGGCTTTTATATGGCAGTGTAGAAGGGGCTTCAGATCTTGTGATGGAGAAAAGATTGTGACAAGATCTCTTCACCACTTTTCTTTTGCAGGAAAGATGGCGACTCTGAGTTCATGAACATCATAGCCAATGAAATTGGCAATGAGGTGAGTCCCTTTTTTACTTGTTTCTGTGAGCGTTTCTCCAAGAGTTGTTAAGATAATGAAGATTTATTGTTTTACTAGCAGTCCCCTGCCACGTGTTGCTGTGGCCCACATGGGGGTTCTGTGTGGGAGGTTTGGCCCAATTCTATCGTTGATGGGGTTCAGAATTTTTTGTGATTGTAGGGGAACTACAAATCCCAGCAACTACAACTCCCAAATGTCAAGATTCTATTTTCCCGAAACTCCACCAGTGTTCACATTTGGGCATATTGAGTATTTGTGTAGAGTTTGAGTCCACAGTGATCTCTGGATGTAGGTGAACTACAACTCCAAAACCAAAGGACACTGCCCACCAAACCCTTCCAGTATTTTATGTTGGTCATGGGAATTCTGTGTGCCAAGTTTGGTTCAATTCCATCGTTGGTGGGGTTCAGAATGCTCTTTGATTGTAGGTGTACTAATCTTAGCAACTACAACTCCCAAATGACAAAATCAAATTTTTTTGAGTGAAGGACATACATTGGGTTGCTAGGTGTATGCTGTCCAAATTTGGTGTCAATTGCCCCTCTGGTTTTTGAGTTCTGTTAATCCCACAAACGAACATTACATTTTTATTTATATAGATATCTATTATCTCAACATACTTCAGACCAAACAGGGATTTAGGACCTCTGCTTTAGTTTCCAAAGATGGAGACTTCAAATCAAAAGGAGATAATGCTAACTGAAATATTTATTTATGCCTGTATTTATTTATTACCTTTCTACCCCACCCTTCTCCCCATAAGGGGACTCAATGCAAAGTTTAATGAATCCTTTATGTGTAAGTAACTCACAGGTCCAATCTGTCAGGATATAAAGAAGCAGAAGATATAATGGGCTGAGTATTTAAAGTGGAAATACTAATAATTTTAAATTAGCAATTCTATGTTTAATTTTTCTGTTTGGGCAACCCTACCAAAAACCAATTAAAAATAAAAGAGATTATAGCAAAACAGGTTTGTAGTTGAATGTTAAAGGTTAAGGAGTTTTGTTGCCAAACTGATCAATGTTTCTGTTTCTATGATTAGTTAGTTCTTATTCTGAAACAGTCAATTTTGTTGTGGTCCCAAGAGAAAGTCCTGTGCCATTGCCTTGGTTGGTCTTTCTAGATGAAAACACAAACTGATCATTGACAGTTTATCCTATGAAACTTCCCAAACAAAATGAATTTAGTTTAGTTTCAGGAGAACCTCAACTACAAATTGCTTAAGACTTTTACATTTGCTTGTGTCACTTCCAGTCTTAACTCTATGTCCATATTCTGTGCGTTGATTCAAATACTGGAGTTATACCTGATACTCTTTCATAGATGTAAGTGGAATTTTGCACCCCCAAAAGGAGTCAAGATAGAGCAACATCAAAATGGAAACAGCTCTTCTAGTGGCCAAAGTAGTTCAAGCTCATTTCTAAGCAGGAATTACCCCATGGTGGACCCCCATCCTACTATAGGCAGTCCCCAAATTACAAACAAGATAGGTTCTGTAGGTTTGCTCTTGAGTTGAATTTGTATGTAAGTCAGAACAGGTAATTTTTTAAGTGTAACCACCTACCTAGCCTTCTAATCAAGGTGAAAGAAGAAAGCGCAAAAGCTGGGTTGCAGCTAAACATAAAAAAAACCAAGATCATGGCAACAAGAATGATTGACAACTGGAAAATAGAGGGAGAAAATGTGGAGGCCGTGACAGACTTTGTATTTCTAGGTGCAAAGATTACTGCAGATGCAGACTGTGGCCAGGAAATCAGAAGACGCTTACTTCTTGGGAGGAGAGCAATGTCCAGTCTCGATAAAATAGTAAAGAGTAGAGACATCAGACTGGCAACAAAGATCCGCATGGTCAAAGCAATGGTATTCCCTGTAGTAACCTACGGATGTGAGAGCTGGACCTTAGGGAAGGCTGAGCGAAGGAAGATAGATGCTTTTGAGCTGTGGTGGTGGAGGAAAGTTCTGAGAGTGCCTTGGACTGCGAGAAGGTCCAACCAGTCCATCCTCCAGGAAATAAAGCCCGACTGCTCATTGGAGGGAAGGATACTAGAGACAAAGTTGAAGTACTTTGGCCACATCATGAGGAGACAGCAAAGCCTAGAGAAGACAATTATGCTGGGGAAAGTGGAAGGAAAAAGGAAGAGGGCAAGATGAATGGATGGGATCCTTGAAGTGGCTGGATTGACCTTGAAGGAGCTGGGGGCGGTGATGGCTGACAGGGAGCTCTCATGTGGGCTGGTCCATGAGGTCACGAAGAGTCGAAAACGACTGAACGAATGAACAACAACAAACCACCTACCTATATATATGCATATGTTTATGTATATGTACACAAGTTTTGAATGCGGCTTGTTGTGGAAACAGGGATTGTGATAAAAGCTTAAGTGGAGACACCTTTTCCCCATGAGAATTCTTTCAGGGGTGAATTTCCCTTCCAAGGGGTAGATTTCTCTCACTTCCTGTTGTCCCGTCCCCATTTGTAACTCTTGAGTCATTTGTAAAGTTGGATTTTTGTAACCCGGGGACTATGTGTACTTGAGTTGTGCCAAGTCACCACTGCATAGGTTAGCTATTCTTGAAATAGTGATCAGGTGCAGTGTTTCTCAACCTTCCTAATGCCCCTTAATACAGTTTCTCATGTTGTGGTGACCCTCAACCATAAAATTATTTTTGTTGCTACTTTATAACTGTAATTTTGCTACTGTTATGAATTGTAATGTAAATATCTGATATGCAGGATGTATTTTCATTCACTGGACCAAATTTGGCACAAATACCCAATACGGCCAATTTTTTTATTTTATCATTTGGGATTTGTAGTTCCTGGGATTTATAGTCAATCTACAATCAAAGAGCATTCTGAACTCCACCAACGATGGAATTGAACCAAACTTGGCGCACAGAACTCTCATGACCAACAGAAAACACTGGAAGGGCTTGGTGGGCATTGGCCTTGAGTTTTGGAGTTGTAGTTCACCTACATCCAGAGAGCACTGTGGACTTAAGCAATGATGGATGTGGAGCAAACTTAGCACGAATACTCAAGATGTCCAAATGTGAACCCTGGAGGAGTTTGGGGAAAATAGACCTTCACATTTGGGAGTTGTAGTTGCTGGGATTTATAATTCACCTACAATCAAAGAGCATTCTGAACCCCACCAACAACATAATTGGACCAAACTTTCCACATAGAACTGCCATGACCAACAGAAAATACTGTGTTTTCTTATGGTATTTGGCGACCCCTTTGTCACTTCCTCACAACCCCCCAGGAGTCCCGACCCCTAGGTTGTGAAATGCTGAACTAGATGGAAACCAGTGAAATATAGGCACTGCAAGTAGTGATGGTGAACTAAATGTACAACTAGGAGGAACACCTGACTTACCAAATCCTGCTGTCTTGTGAAATAATAATAATAATAATAATAATAATAATAATAATAATAATCTTTATTTATACCCCGCCACCATCTCCCCAGTGGGGACTCGGAGCGGCTTACATGAGGCCAAGCCCGAACAACAAATTACAATAAAATAAAACTAAAACACAACCAAAAATGCAAACAGTAAACAACAACATCATAATAAAATAAAACATGTAAATACATAACGATATAAAATTACAATAGACTCAATCACAATAACAATGGGTGGGCTACATGTAATGATTAAAAGAATCTATTTGAATGACTATGATGATGATGATATTATAACGAAGGTTGAGTTTCCTTATCTAAAATGCTTAGACTAGCAGTGCTTTGTATTACACCTTTTTTGGATTTTGGAATACTTGTATTTGCATATGAATACAAAATAAGATATGAGACAAAATATTAACATGAAACTATGTTTCATATATATCTTACACACAAAGCCTAAAAGTAATAGTATATGTAATATTTTTTCATAATTGTGCATCAAACAAAATTTGTGTTCATTGAAGCATCCGAAAGCAACGATGTCACTATCCCGGCTACACATGTGGGGAATTTTGGATTTTGGAGTATCTGGGATTTCAGAAATCTAGATAAGGGATGAACAACCCAAAGTAATATAACTTAAAACATTCTTAAAGTGTGGGAACATTCTCCTTTCTACAGAAAACCATCGTTTTCCTATCTGTGGGAGATGAAAAAGCAGCTGGACTTTTCTTGCTTGCAGGGCCTCCAGAAACAGTGGAGAAACTGGGTCCCAGGTGAGTTGCTCATTCAGTCCTGGATTGGTGTGCATGTTGTAAGAGATAGGGGATGGTTATTTATTTATTTACATCATTTCTATCCCGCCCATTTCAGCCCGAAGGCGACTCAGGACGGCGTACAGAGCGGCAACAATTAGATGCCACACACACACACACACACACACACACACAAAAACACATATAAAATCCATAAGAACTATAAAAATCTATAAAAACAAGTGTCTTCAAGACCAATTCCTCATTTGTTTACATCATCTTGGCCATTCCATGTTCATATTACAATTTTGTGTTTATCTGGTCATTAAGAACTATAAAAATCTATAAAAACAAGTGTCTTCAAGACCAATTCCTCATTTGTTTACATCATCTTGGCCATTCCATGTTCATATTACAATTTTGTGTTTATCTGGTCATGCTGAAGCTCCAAATGCTTGGTTAAAGAGCCAAGTTTTCACCCTTTTCTGAAAGGTCGGGAGGGGGGGTGATCTAATATCCCTTGGGAAGGGAGTTTCACAGCCGAGGGGCCACCACTGAGAAGGCCCTGTCTCTCGTCCCCACCAGACGGGGACGAGAGACACATAGAAGATTCACAAGTTATTTTTGAGAGGCCCTTGAGAGGAACGTGAGTGTGTGTGTGTGTATGTGTATGTGTATGTATGTGTTAGTACAGAGTTCTGAGATGACCAGAGGAGTGCTTAGGGCAGTGTTTCTCAACCTTCCTATTGCTGCGACCCCTTACATTGTGGTGACCCCCAACCATAACATTATTTTCATTGCTACTCCATAACTGTAATTTTGCTACGGTTATGAATCGTAATGTAAATATCTGATATGCAGGTTGTATTTTCATTCACTGGACCAAATTTGGCACAAATACCTGATATTCCCAAATTTGAATACTGGTGAGGTTGGGAGGGGGGGCGGGTTGACTTTTGTCATTTGGGAGTTGTAGTTGCTGGGATTTATAGTCAACTTACAATCAAAGAGCATTCTGAACTCCACCAAACTTGGCAAACCAAACTTCCCTGACCAACAGAAAATGCTGGAAGGGTTTGGTGGGTATTGGCCTTGAGTTTTGGAGCTGTTGTTCACCTATATCCAGAGAGCACTGTAGACTCAAGCAATTATGTATCTGCACCAAACTTAGTACGAATACACAAAATGCCCAAATGTGAATATTAATGGAGTTTTGAGAAAATAGATCTTGACATTTGGGAGTTGTAATTGCTGGGATTTATAGTTCACCTACAAAGAGCATTCTGAACCCCACCAACGACAGAATTGGGCCAAACTTCCCACACTGAACCCCCATGACCAATAGAAAATACTGTGTTTTCTGATAGTCTTTGACGACCCTTCTGACATCCCCTCGCGACCCCCTAAGGGGTCCTGACCACCAAGTTGAGAAACACTGGCCTAGGGATACAGGACCTTCACACATGGTTTGGGGGTGAAACTGACCAAAAATCATGGTTTTTTTTTAAAATGGGGTAGGGAATGTTGGAGACTTTGGGGGATTGCTGGATGCTTGAGGACATAGAATTTGCCAACCACATTTGGCCTACGGGCTGTGCATTGCATACACCCCAGTTTAGGTTAATTAAATGTATAGCTGGGCATATTGCTTAGATCCTGTTGTTTTTTTTCTTCCGCACAAGGGTGGCTGAACTACTGGAAGGAAAAGGGGCCGGAAAGCGTGGCCGCTACCAAGGCAAAGCCACACGGATGAGCCGGCGAGCAGAAGTGGAGACCCTCCTTCGAGGATTTATCAATGAACAGAGGATAGAGCCATGACTGGGAAGTGGAGCCAATGGAGTGATGACAAGAAGACTGGGAGGGGGAGAAACTGGGCCATAGGATTCCTCTAGGACTATCAAGAACTGTGATACAATTCTCCTTTGTGTTCTTGCTTTGTACGTGCCATTGCCAACAGAGAAGATAGTTGATGGTTTAGTCCTGTCAAGAGGGGGCGCATTGGAATTGAGAGTGTTATTGGCATTAGAATTTGAGAGTGAAGTAAAAGATGCAAGACAAACATGCCTGGGAGGTGTGCTGTTACCTTCAGAAACAGTTTTTCCCAATCTTGAGTTGTGGGGACGTAGAGGGGGAAATCACACTTTTTTTGGTGGAGAATTATTTGTGTTTTAGCATGGTTGGTTTCCATTATTAAAAAAGGATTGGCTGGAAAATGGATAGGGTGCAAAACAGATTGGGGCCACATAATTTGCACCCCTGCTCTAATTCAGACATTTGTGATTGCTAGAAACACCTAATGCTTGTTCATAAATGCTTCCCATTAGCTTTTGTGATCCATAATTGCATTATTTTATCTCAGATTGACCCATTTGACTCCCTTTCAAAAACCTTTCAGAATGAACCATGAAGTTACTGTTGTTGTGTCTCTTCAAGATGTTTCTGTCTTATGCATAGTCTACCATAGGTTTTCTTTGCAGGTTTTATTCAGAGAGGGGCTGTTTTTACCTTCCTTTAAGGCTGAGAGTATGTCCTAAGTCACCCAGTGGGTTTCCATAGCTCAGATAGGATTCAAACGCAGGTCTCCAGTACACTCACATAGTCCCTTACCAGTGGCTGTGCTCATTAATGCTGGTGGGACTTGTAGGCCAGAAATATCTGGGGAACCACACAATTCCCCCTGATGTAAATAGAAAAAATGTATCTGAATGCATATCAGATTCATAAACAGATTCAAATGTCCAATGTGTATGCATTCCAACCATGTCTCTGCACATTTTACTCATTTAGGGAAAATATGCTATGTAAGGCCAGAGTTAAAGAGTGTTTAGTCCTGTCTGCACATACAAACACACGATAGCCAATTACCTCATCCTATGCATGTTTTAATGAGACCGAGGGAACATAATATAATATGCCTATCATAATGCACAATGAGACGAATGATTCATACACAAAGACTGCCACAAATGTGCCTCCTGCGCAGTGTAATATGTGGAACCCCCGGTGGCGCAGTAAGTTAAAAGCCCTGTGCTGGCAGGACATAGGTCGCAGGTTCAAATCCGGGGAGAGGCGGTTGAGCTCCCTCTATCAGCTCCAGCTCCTCATGTGGGGACATGAGAGAAGCCTCCCACAAGGATGATAAGACATCAAAAATCATTCGGCCATCCCTTGGGCAACGTCCTTGCAGACGGCCAATTCTCTCACAACAGGATGCTCCTGACACGACAAAAAAAAAGTGTAATATGGCTATTCACATCTTGGAAATCATTCATAATGTCACCCTAGGAAAATAACTGGGTACCTCAGCATCTGGAAAAAGCATTTCTTACATCTGTATCATCTTGATTGAGATTTATTATTATTTCTTTATTTCGCGCACTTCTACCCCGCCCTTCTCAACCCCCGAGGGGGGACTCAGGGAGGCTTACAAAAGGCGCAATTCGATGCTGACACAAACAATAAGATAAAAATAAAACATATATAAACAGTAATTAAAACAATTAAAACAGTTACTTATATACATCATAGTCAATAAAACCAAACTAATGCTCAATGTTTGCCAGCTCAGAGTGTGTAAATTCATTCCACATTGTCAAATCCACCCATTCTAGTCATCGCTCGTCCTTTGTTTATCTGCCAGATTACCCAAAAGCCTGGTTCCATATCCATGTTTTTAATTTCCTCCTAAAAGAGAGGAGGGATGTCGATAACCTAATTTCCCCGGGGAGTGAATTCCACCGGTGAGGGGCCACCACCGAGAAGGCCCTGCTCCTCGTCCCCACCAACCTCACTTGTGATAGAGGTGGGGCCGAGAGCTGGGCCTCCCCAGATCTTAAACTCCGAGGCGGGACATAGTGGGAGATATGTTCGGACAGATACACTGGGCCGGAACCGTATAGGGTTTTGTAGGTCAAAACCAGCACTTTGAATTGTAATCTGAACTGGGTGGCTCTAGTACCTATTTTGTGCCAGGCATATTAATTACAATGAGGGGCATATTTGAAAAAAAAATATACACAATGTTTACAAAGACAAAAATTATACAGAGGATAAATAAAATGAAATGTGGATACCCAGGACTGACTGAAACTGCTTGCTGGCAAAGAAATAAAGAATCGACCGGGAAAGAAATTGGCAGAAACAGGAGATTGTTGCCGGAGACCACTGTCAAATAGACAAGATGTACCTGATAGCTAACTTTTGAACTTAACAAGGTCCCTTAGCCTCTCTTGATTCCAGTTTAGACTTTCTGTGTTTTTCCATGACACTTACTTTGCGTTTCCCGGTCTCTGCGGCCTATAACACTGGAGAAAATACATTGTTTAGCCAGTATTGCACCACCTGATATCCGTCGGGAAGTAGCAGCCAATAGTGAAAGGACCAGGCAGTGACATCTCCAGCTCATCCCCTGTTTGGGTATCAGCCAGCATGTCAACAACTTAAATCAAGAAATAGTTTTTTAAGATCTAAGAGACACTCGCTGGAACACCCCAGCAAGTGAGAGTCCAAAAGTGGCAGGCTAAAACCCAGAACCTCAATCAATGGCTGATACCAAATGAGAGACTCCCCCCTGGGCACACAGAAGACTGGGCAACTTGGAAGGCGCTGAACAGACTGCGCTCTGGCACCACGAGATGCAGAGCCAACCTTAAGAAATGGGGACTACAAAGTGGAATCCACGGCATGTGAGTGTGGAGAAGAGCAAACTACAGACCACCCGCTGCATTGCAACCTGAACCCTGTCACATGCACAATGGAGGACCTTCTTATAGCAAAATTAGAGGCACTCCAAGTGGCCAGCTACTGGTCAAAGGACATTTAATCAACTACCAAGCCCGCAAACTTTGCGTTTTGTTTGTTTGTTTGTTAAAAAATGCAATACAACTGGTTTGCTCCTGAGACGATAAATATGGCCATAACTTTCCTCATTGCCCTTCCTTCTCCAAAGTCAGGTTGCTTCTGACCTAAATTTGGAGGAAATTGTGCTCATTAGTATGTTGGTTGGTCGGAGGTTCTGTTCAGTCTCCCACAAAAGTTAACATCTAATAAGCATGGATTACACTTGGTTGAGAAGCAGGTCCAAGGCTTTTCTTCCCTATAAGTCCTTTTTCCTTGTCAGCTGAAGCAGGTGGGAGACACAGTAGGGAATCAGGGCCACTGCACAAATATGAGCACAAGCACTCTTGCAGAAGGAGAGGATGTAGAAGAGGATCTCTCTGTTGGTGGGCAGTTCAAAGGAATCAAACAGGTGGAGGATGAACAGGGAGGAAATGATGCAGGTGAGGCGGAAGGTCAGCCGTTGGCTTTGCTTCCCTCTGCAGCTCTCGGCATACATGGGGGAGTTGAGGCCTAAGCCCAGGCCAAACAGGATGCCCAGGTTGCGAAGCAGGCTGGCAAAAGGCGTTGTGTCAATATGGACCCACTCCGGCCGTTCACACCACTTGTGGGCCTTTTCCAGTGTCCACAGGAGGTCCACACCCAGCAACTTGAGCAGCAAGTAAAAGCCCAGGGCAAAGCCAAACAGGAAGAAGGTTGTATTCACGTATTGCCGCAGGTTTGCATTGTAGATGGAACGGACGTGCTCAAAAACCTCTGCCACCAACATCCCTGGTAAGTGGGGAAATCACGTTAAATTGACATGTAGTGCTTTTTCTTCAGTGTCACCACTTGAGCTGGAGCCCCCTGTGGCGCAGTGGGTTAAACCCCTGTGCCAGCAGGACTGAAGACTGACAGGTTGCAGGTTTGAATCCGGTGAGGGGCGGATGAGCTCTCTCTATCAGCTCCAGCTCCTCATGCGGGGACATGAAAGAAGCCTCCCACAAGGATGATAAAAACATCAAATCATCCGGGCGTCCCCTGGGCAACGTCCTTGCAGACGGCCAATTCTTTCATACCAGAAGCGATTTGCAGTTTCTCAAGTTGCTCCTGACACAATAAAAAAAACCCCACTTGAACTTTGGAAGTACTTCCAAACTCTAGTCTTCTCAATCCCATTCCAACACTGAGACCATGCTGGTTTTCCAGTTGTTAAATAATCTAGTCTAAATCCTGCAAGTAGCCCCAACTAGAGGGGACTCACTGAATCAACGGGACCTTCGTAAATATTGATATGGGAAGTAAACATGTTCTATGTCAATACTTAGGAATGGCTCACTGACTCAATAGGTCAGTCCTCCCCCCACACACCTCAATGGGACACCCTTTTAAATCTTGAAACATTCTCATGTTCCCCCTCTACCTCCTCTTCTCCCAGCTAAACATCCCCCAGGAGGAAAGGAGGAAGGAAAAAGAGAAGGAAGGGAGGGAGGAAGAGAAGGATGGAAGGAAAGAAAAGTTGAAGGGAATGGAGGGATGAAGGAAAAGGAGAAGAAAGGTAAGACAAAAGGGAAGGAAGGAAAGAAGGAAGGAAGGAGAAAGAGGGAGAGATGGAAGGGTGGAAGGAAAGAAGGGTGGGAGAAAGAGGGAAGGAAGGAAAGAGAAGGAAGGAAGGAAAGAAGAGGAAAGAAGGGAGAAAGAGGAAGGGAAGAAGGGAGGAAGGGAGGAGGGTGGGAGAAAGAGGGGAAGGAAGGGAGAGAGGGAAGGAGGAAGGAAAGAAGGAAGGATAAGATGGTGAGAAAGAGGAGGGCCTGAGAATGAAAGGGTGGAAAGGAAGGAGGGAGGGAGAAAGGGAAGGAAGGGAGAGAGGGAAGGAGGAAGGAAAGAGAAGGAAGGAAGGATAAGATGGCGAGAAAGAGGAGGGCCTGGGAATGAAAAGGTGGAAGGAGGGAGGGAGAAAGAGGGAAGGAAGGGAGAGAGGGAAGGAGGAAGGAAAGAAGGAAGGATAAGATGGCGAGAAAGAGGAGGGCCTGAGAATGAAAGGGTGGAAGGAAGGAGGGAGGGAGAAAGGGAAGGAAGGGAGAGAGGGAAGGAGGAAGGAAAGAGAAGGAAGGAAGGATAAGATGGCGAGAAAGAGGAGGGCCTGGGAATGAAAGGTGGAAGGAGGGAGGGAAGAAGGAAGGAAGGAGGAGGGAAGGAGGAAGAAAGAAGGAAGGAAGGATAAGATGATGAGAAAGAGGAGGGCCTGAAAATGAAAGGGTGGAAGGGAAGGAGGGAGGGAGAAAGGGAAGGAAGGGAGAGAGGGAAGGAGGAAGGAAAGAGAAGGAAGGAAGGATAAGATGGCGAGAAAGAGGAGGGCCTGGGAATGGGAGAAAGGGAAGGGAGAGAGGGAAGTAGGAAGGAAAGAGAAGGAAGGAAGGATAAGATGGCGAGAAAGAGGAGGGCCTGAGAAAAGAGCCCAAGGGGCCTGGTCTAAATCCTACCCAATTAGCAGTCCAACTAATTTATGTTAAGTGTTCACTTACATTCATAACTGATATAGTAGTTTCCCGTAGTAGATAATATCAATCATATTTCAGCCAAAGCCTGTCAAATCTCTTTCCCTGGACCCTTTTGTGAGGTACCATGAAATATCCAATAATTCTTTAACTCATCCTAGCAAATCATAACATAATTTCTGTATGGAATTTAAAAAATCTCATTTTCTCACCTGAGTCTAGAGCCCTCTGAAAGTGAGTTATTGGTGTAGATGTAAAACACACAATATATGTCTTCTGAATGTCTGAATGTCTATATGAAAAAAACTTTTGGGAATTGAGCAATTGCAAATTACACACCTGAAATCACACCAGATACTACCTGGTGTGGAAAGTGTGCAGCCAAGAAGACCCGGGATAAACAGACGCAGACCTGCACTGCCCAGAATCCTGTCCAGAGGAAGATACGCAGGCACCTGAGAGAGAAATATTTATTCAAGTCAGAGCCATGGCAGAAAGTCTAAAACACACCATCATACAAAACAGTATCTATTATGTGGGACGTATTTTTTTCCTTCCAATGAGTAAGGAATTCGTACCATATTTGTGCCTATGGGCTACAATTGGCTCTTTCGTCCCTGACAATTCTCTAGGGTCCAGCAGCTGATGGCTTTGGGCCAGCAGTGGTCCTTTGACCAGAATTTTTAGTAGCACTAATCTAAGACATAGAAAACATGTGACTGTCTAGATCAGAGGTCCTCAAACTAAGGCCCAAGAGCCAGATATGGCCCTCCAAGGTCCTCCAAGGTCATTTACCCAGCCCTCGCTCAGGGTCAACCTAAGTCTGAAATGACTTGAAAGCACACAACAACAACCTTATCTCATCAGCCAAAAGCAGACCCACACTTCCCATTGAAATACTAATAAGTTTATATTTGTTAAAATTGTTCTACAGGCTGGCTTCTTTTCTAGTAGATTTTATTATTATTATTATTATTATAACTTTATTTGTACCCCGCTAGCATCTCCCGAAGGATTCGATGCGGCTTACAATAGGCCGAAGCCCAACACAATACAACAATACAACATCTAGCAAATAAAAACAGTTAAGCAGAAAAACAATAACAATGGCAATACGACAAGACATTATTAAAAACTGAGTCGGCCGAAGTAGGGGTACAAGGTTAAAAGTGCTGATGTGTCGGAGGGGTGTGGGATTATGATATAAGTGCGGTGTGCAGTGTGCGGTGATTTTGGTACTAAAGTGCTTCTGGGATTTGGTACTGGGAGAATTCCTAATCTGAAAAGGCACATTGGAACAGCCAGGTTTTCAAATTCTTCCTGAAGACTGCCAGTGTAGGGGCTTGTCTGAGATCTTTTGGGAGGGCGTTCAAGAGTCGGGGGCCACCACAGAAAAGGCCCTGTCTCGAGTCCCCACCAAGCGCGCTTGCGACGCAGGCGGGATCACAAGCAGGGCCTCTCCAGATGACCGAAGTAAACGCGTGGGTTCGTAGACGGAGATGCGGTCACGCAGGTAGGGTGGTCCCAAACCGTTCAGGGCTTTGTAGGTAAGCACCTGCACCTTAAATTGGGCTCGGAAAATAAATGGCAGCCAGTGGAGCTCCTTAAACAGGAGGGTTGACCTCTCTCTGTAAGGAGCACCAGTTAACATCCTGGCTGCCGCCCGTTGGACCAGTTGGAATTTACGAGCCGTTTTCAAGGGCAGCCCCACGTAGAGCGCATTACAGTAATCCAATCTAGAGGTGACTCAGTATTTTCTGTTGGTCATGGGAGCTCTGTGTGACAAGTTTGGTTCAATTCCATCATTGGTGGTGTTCAGAATGCTCTTTGATTGTAGGTGAACTATAAATCCCAGCAACTACAACTCCCAAATGACAAAACCAATCCCCCCCCCCCGACAAACATACCAGTATTCAAATTTTGATGTATCAGGTATTTGTGCCAAATTTCATCAAGTGAATGAAAATACATCCTGCATATCAGATATTTACATTACGATTCACAACAGTAGCAAAATTAGAATTAAGAAGTAGCAACGAACATAATTTTATGGTTGGGGGTCACCACAACATGAGGAACTGTGTTAAGGGGTCGCAGCATTAGGAAGGTTGAGAAACACTGATCTAAGTCATTGATAAAGATGTTGAACAGGACCAGTCCCAGGACAGAACCCTGCGGCACTCCGCTCATCACTTCTTTCCAGGATGAAGAGGAAGCATGGAAGCACCTTGTGGGCCATACAGTCCAACCTCCTACCAAGAAGCAGGAAAATTGCATTCAAAGCATCCCTGACAGATGCTCATCCAACCTCTGTTTAAAAGCCTCCAAAGAAGGAACCTCCACCATACTCCAGGGCAGAGAGTTCCACTGCTGAACAGTTCTTTGAGAGTAGTTCCACTTTTGGAATCTATGAATACAATGCTTTCAAAATTTCCCCAAAAGAAGACTGAGTCAATGGACCCTTATTTAGAAGGTGAGAGAATAAAACAAAATCTAAGAACCTAGGAAGAGAGCTATGCTAACTATCCTTACTCCCCAAAGCAAGGTCTTCACTGTCATCCCCAGGGACAAAAATGATGCAGGGAGACTCACCTTGCTGACAATTTTTTTTGCTTCAATGGCAACAGATGTGATATGAGTGCTGTCACCATGACGTAGTAGACGCCAGAAGATCCCATGGCATGACCAGAAGGGCTACCTGGAGAGATGAAGCACAAAAGTTTATGGTGACTTCAGGATGCTACCAGGAGGAAGAGGGTAATAATTATAGCCTCACCTGGGCCAGTCTCACAGGTGATGGGAAATTGTTTGATCACAGGAGGTGTTGTGATGCCATAGAAGTCAGTTTCATACACCCACCAGTAGGGCCTCTCTCCGAAAAGGATCCTATTGGAAACAGGATAATAAGGAGTGGTGAATGTGGACCCAGTCTCTGAAAACAAAAGGCAGACATAGCATACCATCCAATATTGTATGTTTTAAGGCACTGTGGAAGTGCGATTGTAAGCCATCTTGAGTCCCCCTCGGGGTAGATTTTATTTATTTATTTAGGGCATTTTTATCCCACCCTTCTCAACCCCCTGGGGGAGACGACTCAGCGTGGCTTCCTCCTGGCACACATTTGATGCCTACAAGTAAACACAGTAAAACACATATCAAAATCAATATATTATAAATAATCAAAACCAATTAAGTTAATACATTAAAATCTACTGAAAGGAACACCGGTCTGGTGGTCGTTGTCTCGCCGAGTTCTATAGACTCCACTAAACTTGACCGTAATGAGTTTCCATAGCCGTTGTCTTCATTGTCATAGTCAAAGTCTGCATAGATTACCCCAATGCCTGATCCCACATCCACGTTTTTAATTTCCTTCTAAGGGAGAGAAGGGATGAAGATGACCTAATTTCCCGGGGGAGTTAATTCCACAGGCAGAGGGCCACAACCGAGAAGGCCCTGTCCCCTCCCGAAGATCTTAAATTCCTAAGTGGGACGTAGAAGGAGATACATTCGGACAGGTACGCTGGGCGGGATATTTATTTATGTATGTATTTATTTATTTCTACCCTGCCCTTCTCCCCACAAGGGGACTCAGAGTGGCCTCACATAAGCATCAAATAATGCTATCCAACATATACACCAAAAGAATTTCAATTAAAACCATCAAACTCAATTTAAAACATTATGCAAATACATTAATAGATTCATTTAACAATAAATTAACGTGCCACTAAATAAGGGATATAGATAAAGGTGGGATATAAATAATGTATAGAATAATAATAATAATAATACATTGGTTATCTTATCACATGGGCATACTTGTGAACATTTTACAAATGAAAACGAAGATGTTGCAGTGGTCATCTTGAATTTCTGAGCTAATCATAAGTAATCTCTTAGATTAGAATTTTGTGGGTGCAACACGGCTGTGTAACTACATTGGCATAAGCAACTATATCAGCAATGGGAGTGCTTTGAAGGCAATTTTCCTGCTTTCTGGCAGCGGGTTGGATTGAATGGCTGACGAGGTCTCTTCCAACACTATGATTCTAAGTGCTTCAGTCATGGGAAAAAAAGAAGGCATTAGGAAGCTCAGAGATGGCTTATTTTGTTTGCTTTCCTTTGACATCACGCTGTAATCTGGTTGCTGTAGTGAAACAACAGTAGTAACTGCACTTTGGAGAGTATCTACTGAACACATGGATCGCTACACAAGCCAAGAAGCATGTACAGTAAGCCCCTCCACAACTGTGGAAGTTAGAGGATTCCCAAAAAAGTGGAAAAATCACAACCCTTATTAAAGTTGACTATATTTAACATACACTAGGTATACTTTATATATTCTGGTTTAGTGAACCTTTTTTAGTTTGCTTTAAAAGGAAAAAAAATCCAACAAGACTGTTCAAACCTATTTGAAAGCAATTCTGAGCTTCTCTCACAATTTAGAGTTCTATGTCATGGGGATAGTTATGGTTGGTTATCACAAATGAGAGAAATTCACTCACTCCACTATCTATCTATATCTATGGCTGGATGGCTCTTTGTCAGGAGGACTTTGATTACGTTTTCTTGCCCTGATGAGGGGAGTTGGATTGGGTGGCCTTAAGTATTTTCTGTTGGTCATGGGGGTTCTGTGTGGGAAGTTTGCCCCGATTCTGCCATTGGTGGAGTTCAGAATGCCCTTTGATTGTAGGTAAACTGTGAATCCCAGTGACTACAACTCCCAAAGGTCAAGGTCTTTTTCTTCCAAACTCCATCTGTGTATATTTGGGCATACTGAGTATTCGTGCCAAGTTTGGTCCAGATCCATCATTGTTTGAGCCCACAGTGTGCTCTCTGGATGTAGGTGAACTACAACTCCCAAACTCAAGGTCAATGCCCACCAAACCTTTCTAGTGTGTTCTGTTGGTCGTGGGGGTTCTGTCTGTCAAGTTTGGTTCAATTCCATCGTTGGTGGGGTTCATTTATGTATTTATTTCGAGCTTTTGTAACCTCCAAAGCTTCTCGACCTCCGACCTCCGAAGAGGGACTCAGGCTGGCTAACAGCAGAGGGTTAAAATACAATAAGATAAACCACAGTAAATATCATAATACAATTGTACGAAAATACATTAAAATGCAATTATACAACTTACAAAAGGTCAGTTTGTCAGAATAAATCATAAATTCATCGTCATCCGCCCGAGTGGTCAGCAGTTATTGACTCAGTCATCATTCTGCAAATGCAGTATTCCAAAGCCATGTTTTTACCAGCTTTCTAAAAGTCAGGAGGGAAAGGGCAGATCTAATCTCCATTGGAAGGGAGTTCCAGAGCTGAGGGGCCACCACCGAGAAGGCCCTGTCCCTCGTTCCCACCAATTGCGATTGCGAAGGAGGTGGGACCGAGAGCAGGGCCCCTCCAGAAGATCTTAACAACCTTGATGGTTCCTAGGGGAGAATCCGTTCGGACAGGTAAATTGGGCCGGAGTCGTTTAGGGCTTTATAGGTCAGTACCAGCACTTTGAATTGTGCTCGGAAACTGATGGAGCTGACGCAACAGAGGAGTAGTATGCTCCTTGTACCCCGCTCCTCTTAGTAGTCTGGCTGCCGCTCGTTGGACTAGTTGTAGCTTCTGGGCAGTCTTCAAAGGCAACCCCATGTAGAGAGCGTTGCAATAGTCTATACAGGATGTAACCAGAGCATGGACCACCGTGGCCAAGTCAGATTCCCAAGGTACAGGCGCAGCTGGCGCACAGGTTTTAATTGTGCAAAAGCTCCCCTGACCACCGCCGAGACCTGGAGTTGAGAATGCTCTTTGATTGTAGGTGAACTATAAATCCCAGCAACTACAACTCCCTGTGCTGGTCAATAACCGAAATAAATGATTTGATTTGATTTGAAATCCCAAATGACAAAATCATTTTTTTTTTGAGTGAAGGACATACATTGGGTTGTTAGGTGTCTTGTGTCCAAATTTGGTGTCAATTCGCCTAGTGGTTTTTGAGTTCTGTTAATCCCACAAATGAACATCACATTTTTATTTATATAGATTAACCTGTAGCGGCTGCATTTCCCACCCTCGGCTTAAACTCAAGTCAATATGTTTTCCCAGTTTTTTGTGGTAAAATTAGGTGCCTCGGCTTATATTCGGGTCGGCTTATACTCGAGTATATACGGTATATTGTTGGGAATCAGGTGCTGTTAGGCTCAAAAATAACCCTCTCTGGATCCACCAAAAATATAGCAGAGTGCAGGATGCACAGTCCATAAGCAGCAGAAACTTACATGTAGTGAGCAAGGATTGGTTTCTATTCAACATGATGGAACAGGATTACAGATCCACAAATCATAGGATCAAAAATAATATGTTTATTAAAGATAAAAGAAATCCATTCTAGATAGGAAAGGTTCTTGGAGCTGACTAGCTTCACTGAGCTATCTTCTAAGGAAAAACAAAAAAAGGAAAAATAATAAAAATAACTATATCTACTACGTCTTGCCTTAGACAATGGCAAGATGCTCCCTCACTCTAGAGAAGACAAAAGGAGAAGAGGCCAGAAAATAGAGACAGGCCACATGGTCAGCTCAGGGCAATAAAAATACCTTTTAAAAGAGGAAGTAACATTTCCATAAAGAGATCACATTCCTAGGTATTCAAAGGGGTGGAGATAGTGCCATGCAAAGATGAGTAAGACAATCCCCCTTCTTAACCCTTTCTTAAAGTCAACTACCTAGAGGAAATTGGGGAGGATCCCTCAGTCTATCTAGGCTAACTACTCATTGAGAGCTGGAGACTTATGTATATATTGCTTTAACACATTCTACAGCCTTGCTCCAGTTAAGCATTGGATCACATTATGTGCCACATGAGAAAAGATTGGAGCAGTGGTTCTCAACCTTCCTAATGCCACGACCCCTTAATACAGTTCCTTATGTTGTGGTGACCCCCAACTGTCACATTATTTTCGTTGTGACTTCACAACTGTAATTGTGCTCTTATTATGAATCGTAATGTAAACATCTGATATGCAGGATATATTTGCATTCACTGGACCAAACTGGGCACAAATATCCAATAATACAACCAAATTATATTGGTGGAGTTGGGGGGATTGATTTTGTCATTTGGGAGTTGTAGTTGCTGGGATCTATAGTTCACCTACAATCAAAGAGCATTCTGAACTCCACCAACGATGGAATTGAACCAAATTTGGAACACAGACCTCCCATGACCAACAGAAAATATGGGAAGGGTTTGCTGGGCATTAACCTTGAGTTTTGGAGTTGTAGTTCACCTACATTCAGAAAGCACTGTGGACTCAAACAATGATGGATCTGGACCAAACTTGGCACAAATACTCAATATGCCCAAATGTGAACACTGGTGGAGTTTGGGGAATATAGACCTTGACATTTGGGAGTTGTAGTTGTTGGGATTTATAGTTTACCTCCAATCAGAGTATTCTGTTCTCCACCAAGAATAGAATTGGGCCAAACTTCCCACACAGAACCCCCATGACCAACAGAAAATACTATGTTTTCTGATGGTCTTTGGCGACCCCTCTGATACTCCCTCGCAACCCCCAGGGGGGTCCCGACCCCCAGGTTGAGAAACACTGGGTTGGAGGAAACACTGCTGCAAAAAATGGTCCAAGGAAGAATTTGGTCCTGACCCAAAATATGGCGATCAGGGGTTCTTAGAAACCATGCTCACCATTTGAAAACAAGGTTGAGCCAGTCCCCGATCACAGCGACCCAGATGAGACGGATTCCCACAGCTTCCCTCAGATGGAACCAGATGGGGAAGAAGACAAAGAACGTTGTTCGGAGGTCAGCCACTGTGGAGATAAAGATAAACCAGTCCTGGAAGGCTATGAAATTATCTTGAAGGTAGCTGGTGGCTTGGACCCCTGCATTATGCAGGAGGTCCATTACTCTAATTCAGCGAGGATTGCCTTCTTCCACTTTGACTCTGCAAGTTTTACCAGCCACTGAGCCTTTGTCATATATGCAGTCCCCTGACCTTTGATCTTTTACTGCTTCCCCTGCCCAAAAAAAATATTGACAGAGGCTACAGCATGAAGCAAAGTGTGCATGTGTATTTGCATGAGTCAATACCTTCCATTTTAGAGGGCATGCCTGCACTATTAATTCAAAGCAACTTTAGATGTCAGTTTGTCTCCATGCAGACGTCTGCTGGAATGAGGGGCGTAGTAACAGAATTATTAGAATTCTCAGCATAGTAATCAAACTACAATTCCCAGGATCCTTTAGTGGAAGCCACAACATCTAACGTGGTAATGTCTCAATAGGTGGGGAAATTGGCTGAATAGTGTGCAAAGGCTTAACTTAAACCACTGTCAAGCAATGTCTGCTTTGTGCATGGATTCAAACTATTGGATAGATCCCAGAACCAAACTAAAATGCAAAGACTACATGAATTTTTAGTGTTCACGGCCCTCTCAGTGGTATCTGGTGGCTTCCATATTAGTGGCTAGTGAATCCATCCCATGTTTTAGTCTGAATTTCAAACGAGCCACCAAAGGTATAGGATCTGTTTTAGGAATAGAGTTCAATACCTTTGATGCCTCTAATAAGGTTCAGAGTAAAATATAGACCAGATTAATTGTTCCCATTGACCTGGGTCTCTTCATCTTAGGCGACCCCTCGTTGTCCGAGTAGGATTGTCTTCCAAGATCAGTGTACTGGCGGTGGATCCGTAGTGGACTGTGGAGCCCTATTCTTGATCTGCATGTTTTCCCGCAGTCAGGGTATTGGTTTCCAGGTGGAAGGTAGTCCCGGTCGAGGTTGGCTTGATGCACCTTCCTCTTGGCACGTTTCTCTCTTTTGCCCTCCATTCGTGCTTCTTCAAATTTGACAGCACTGCTGGTCACAGCTGACCTCCAGCTGGAGCGCTCAAGGGCCAGGGCTTCCCAGTTCTCGATGTCTATGCCAGAGTTTTTAAGGTTGGCTTTGAGCCCATCTTTAAATCTCTTTTCCTGCTCGCCAATATTCCGTTTTCCATCTTGAGTTCGGAGTAGAGCAACTGCTTTGGGAGACGGTGGTCAGGCATCCAAAGAACATGGTCGGTCCAGCGGAGTTGATGTTGGAGGACCATTGCTTCAATGCTGGTGGTCTTTGCTTCTTCCAGCATGCTGACATTTGTCGCTTGTCTTCCCAAGAGATTTGCAGGATTTTTTGGAGGCAACACTGATGGAATTGTTCATCACTTGGGTCTACTACTGCACTGTTTCTGGCGCTTTGAGTCTATGGTATCAAAGTGGACTTGGAATTTTTCCTCCGCTGGCACTCAAAAGCTTATGTTTGTGCTTTCTCTTAACTGCCACACTGGGCAGCCATGTCAGGGTCATGTTTGTTACCCATTCAGGTTTCTTCACAGGATAAATCTCAGACAATCAGTGCAACAACAATGCAAAAAAAAACAAACAATCAGATAATCCACATTATCTGCTTTGAACTGGATTATATGAGTCTACACTGCCATGTAACCCAGTTCAAAGCAGACAATCTGGATTTTATATGGCAGTGTAGAATTTATTTATTTCATACACTACCCCCCCCCCCCCAAGTGGGACTCAGGACGGCTTCACATAAGCACCGTATGATGCCATCATCACACAAATAGTCAACAAATACATTAAAACAATTCATTAAAACAATAGATTAGTCACGCTAGTTAAAACCAAAACCAAGTCTGGGGTTAATTCAATGTCGGAGGATCCAAGTCTTCTTTCCAATTGCCACTGTCCACTAATCGAATGCCTCAAATGCCTGGTCTTCAATTTTCTTCTAAAGGACAGGAGGGAGGTGGCCAACCTGATGTCCCTGGGGAGAGAGTTCCATAGACGGAGGACCACTGCCAAGAAGGCCCTGTCTCTCATCCCCACCAACCGCGTTTGTGATGGTGGTGGATTTGAGAGCAGGGCCTCTCCTGATGATCTTACACTTTCGTGATGGTTTGCAACAGGAGATAGAAGGGGCCTATGTCAAATAAGACTTCAAGAACATAGTGACCCAACACTGCTTTGTGTTTCATACTGAAGAAAAGTGAGTTATTAAGTAAATAGTGCAAATATACCATATATTCCAGCATATAAGACGACTGAGCATATAAGACGACCCCCAACTTTTCCACTTAAAATATAGAGTTTGGGATATACCCGCTGTATAAGACTACCCCTCTTCCAACGCACACCAAATAAAAATTTAAAAAGCATCAGATTTGATTTCAATATGGTAATTTTCCTATTACTGTACCTCCTTCTCTGCCTCTCAGATCTCGCACATGCGCACCTGCACCACTTCACTGCAGTCTTCAGGAGCGAGATCTGAGAGGCAGAGGAGGAGGTACGGTAATAGGATACAAGGGCGGTCCAGACAGGTAAAAGAGTTCTGTTTTTCAGGACCCAGAGCCACTCTATCTCTTTTTTCAATACCCCGGGTGCCTGCAGCTTGCTCTGCCCTTCACTTACACCTTCCCGGTGAGGCACCCCTTCACCTCACCATCGGGACCGCATTAAGTCCACGAATCCTGATGAATGGATTTTCTTCTACCATACTTGTACAGCGTCACCCTTAATGCTTTCATACAGTCGCTGCATATGGCAGGGACGTGGCCACTGCCATTTTTGAGCTCCCCCCACAATATGCAGCAACCACAGATTCTCCAATCTGGATTGGAAGTTTCAGCACCCGCTCTATAAGACGACTCCCGCATATAAAACAACCCCTGACTTTTGAGATTTTCTAGCATATAAGACGACTCCCACGTATAAGATGACCCCTGACTTTTGAGAAGATTTCATTGGGTTAAAAAGTAGTCTTATACACCAGAATATATGGTATTTTATATGGGATGTTGAATTATTGTCCAGAGGTGGACTGATTGCCTGATTTCCTCCCTCCCTTCCATTAAAGGGAATACATAACACACCCATCTAATTGTATCTCTAGTGTTCCACAATATTTTTAGTCTTTGCACAGAACCTGAGGGATAGGAACTGATAAGTAATCTTTCCTTTGTAATTACTTAATTAATTGAGATTCAAAGGGCATGATGTTACATAAAGGGGGCGGGGTGGGAAATTTAGAGAAATTCCTAGCAGAAGGATACGCTGCAGTGGCATCAACAAGGTCTGAAGTTCAACTTTCCAAATGGCATGTAGAAATCTGAATGAACGCAAGGGGGGAAATATGGCCCCATGGTGTGGAAAACAAGGGAAATCGTGTCAGTGAAAAACAGCAAGGAGAAACAGTTGTTAGGTTGTGAGTTTGCAGACATCACCCAACTGAGAAGAGGAAAACAGCTCAATAGCTGGTGGACATCACAGAGTGATGGCAGCACAGACACATGAGGTCAAGGTTATTTTTCCTGGGAAAGGTGGATTGGGGCAGCAAGAGAAGGCAGATAAGAGTTGTGTTCCCGGTGGGGAACAGCATGTTCTGATTCTCAAAGGGTTGCAACCTTTAACCCTTAAGTTTGTAGGAACAATATCGCCTTCTACTTACTGCCCTACAGCATTTAGTCCAGGGGTCCTCAAACTAAGGGCCGGGGGCCGGATACGGCCCTCCAAGGTCATTTACCCAGCACTTGCTCTGGGTCTACCTAACTCTGAAATGACTTGTAAGCACACAACAACAACAACAACAACAACAACAATCCTATCTCAGCCAAAAGCAGGCTCACACTTCCCATTGAAATACCAATAAATTTATATTTGTTAAAATTGTTCTTTATTTTAATTATTGTATTGTTTTTAAGTGTTTTTGCACTATTATTTATTTAGAACTTTTCTCACCTCCAACGAGGGACTCGGGCCGGTTTACAACAGAGGATTCATACACAATAGTTTAAAACATCACATCTCCTAATACACTAATATAAAACACACATTAAAATACAATCATATAATTACATAAGGCCAAGTCGTCAGAATAAAATCACAATTCATCACCATCC